TTCGTTGTTCTAGGTAATTTTGCGATAACTGCTTTGTACTTTTTGATTCTATTACTATTCCTTAATGATAGGAGAATTAACGCATCACATTGGCAACCAACATGGGCATTTACAGTCTCATTGCCACAAGATGGAGTAATGGCGTTTTCACACAGTTTTGAGTAAAGCTGCATGTGCCTATTAGTTTATTTAACTACGGATGAAAGGCTACCTCCTCCCCGCTATGTATTTCCAAACGGTATGGGGGTGTGTTTGACAACTAAACAAACGCTGTGATAATATTGCCACAGTGATCGGTGCACCTTGACATCATCGTGACGACGTTGGAAGCTTTTGCCTCAGTTGTGATTCACAATTAATGGATTTGTTCTCGATATCGATATCCCCCGACTGAAGGATAAACATGGGAAATTTTTAAAGCGTAAATGCTCGAAAATGTGCACAGCCACTTACGAGTCAATGTCTTTGTTATGAAGACTTTGTCATTAAAGATTTATGGAAATTCAAACAAGGTTACCACTTCTCGGTGAAGGCGGTATGGATTGTAGACTAACGAGAGTAGACGCAGAGGGAGCTTTTACTGTAGTTGTTACAAAAAATTGAACGATACTTGTGAGTGTAGGACAGATACACTGTTGGCGCTTCTTTTGAATCAAATAAACTTACTTAGTCAACATTCATTCTTCACTTTTCTTTTGTCAGATTAATCATAGAATACATTATTTTTATTGTATATTTCAAGAGTGTGTCCACGAGAGCCGGCCAGGCAGTTGTGCTACATGCCATCTCACCGATTTCAATGAAACTTTGGCAGTTTTAAGGGTCTACCCCAAAACTCAAAAAGACAAACTGGTTTCCCTGGTTTTCACCAAGGAAATCGCTTCAAAATATGTAAAATGTATGAAATTCTTACTTCGATGGTATTTAACCAATTACTCTGAGGGTTTGCACATGTATTTTTACATCCTTGGTTAATGTCCGCCGTAAGTATTAGCCAATTTTATTGACGACTTGTCAATCAACAGAGGCAAATAAACGACTGTGTTTTTAGACTTTTCGATTCATCCAAATATTTGACAACTTTGAGGTCAAATATCTCCCCTTGCCAGAAAGCTACAACACTGATCTTGATTCCCCATTATAACCCATCATTTCATTTCTGAAAATCATCAAAAAAATCTTTGGTCGCTACCGTATTTTTGTCTTGGATGTCTTTAATATCTACGCCTGTGACGAGTTGTTCTCAACTACACCTGTCACGCAATTCTTGCTCTGGGCGGTCACTTAACCAAATAAACCTATATCTTTTAGCTCTTTATACACGATGACTGATGAAGAAAGGTAAAAAATGGGAAAACCTTTCGAGACTTTTTGTAGGAATGGAAAATTTCACGTTTAGAGAGATG